GAAAGACAAAACCATTCAGGAGCAGGATTTTTGGTACAGCTTTACCAGCTGTTAAAGAGCTGAGGTGCCTTTTCACAACCTTCTCTCTGTGTCCACACACATATTAGTAACAACTGACTCCTTCACAGCAGCCACACAACCGCTCATTTTTAAGAGTTTTAAGAAATTGTGAAAGCAGTTACTGTAAAGGTTTTGTTAGGAATGTCCATAGTGAAGCATTCAGACTCAATTCCTGGTGGTTGTAGTCACCATCCCTGGAGATACTCAAAAGACAGGTTGACATAGTGCTTAGAGACAGGGTTTAGTGACGGTTTTATCAGTTAGGTGGATGGTTGGACTAGATGATCTTAAAGGTCCCTTCCAACCTAGACAATTCTATGAGTCTATGATTACTGCACGTGTAGGTATGATGGCCCATGGGACGACTTCACAAGTCTTTTTTAATGCCACTGTCTTTGTGGTTAGGTCAGATTGTAAACAAACCTGTTTGGAAATACCAATGGTAACGCAAAGTGAAACCCTGTGTTTTTCTGAAGAGCAGAGAGGGACTTATATTCCAGGAAAACAGCTGGCCTGGGTATTGAATTAAGAAAAATACGTCATGTATTAGCTAGAAATAGATGTAAACATAAAACAAGAGGGTCTGTCACACATTTCTTTCTTCACACGTTCCCCATTCTTCCCAGTCCCTCCTATCTAGACACATTGTTTTCAGCGATAATAACCCTGCCCTCAGCTCTAAGATGCTTGGATTCAATTAAAAATCCCCCAGAGCCATCTAAGTACAGTATGAGTGAGCTGCTCAGGGGTAAGGGGTACTGGCCAAAATCAGGGCACTGGAAAAAACCCACTCCAAAAGAAGGGGACACTGATTGAAGAGGTGGAGGAAAAGGGGAGGAAATTGTGAAAGCAGCTACTTTAAAGGTTTTGTTAGGAATGTCCATAGTGAAGCATTCAGACTAAATTCCTGGTGGTTGTAGTCACCATCCCTGGAGATATTCAAAAGACAGGTTGACATAGAGCTTAGAGACATGGTTTAGTGACAGTTTTTATCAGTTAGGTGGATGGTTGGACTAGATGATCTTAAAGGTCCCTTCCAACCTAGACAATTCTATGAGTCTACGATTACTGAATCTGTAGGTATGATGGCCCATAGGACAACTTCACAAGTCTTTTTTAATGTATTTGTGGTTAGGTCAGATTGTAAACACACATTTGGAAATACCAAGGGTAACGCAAAGTGAAACCCGGGGTTTTTTTGAAGAGCAGAGGGACTTATATTCCAGGAAAACAGCTGGCCTGGGTATTGAATTAAGAAAAATACGTCATGTATTAGCTAGAAATAGATGTAAACATAAAACAAGAGGGTCTGTCACGCATTTCTTTCTTCACACGTTCCCCATTCTTCCCAGTCCCTCCTATCTAGACACATTGTTTTCAGCGATAATAACCCTGCCCTCAGCTCTAAGATGCTTGGATTTGGTTAAAAATCCCCCAGAGCCATCTGAGTGAGCTGCTCAGGGGTAAGGGAGTACACTGGCCAAAATCAGGGCACTGGAAAAAACTCACTCCAAAAAAAAGGGATACTGAAGACTGAATTCCCAAATTTGGCTATTCAGTAAAACTCAGGGTTTCACCACACACGTCGCCACAGCAAACTGAATGTGACCCAACTTCAACAGAACACCAGTTTCCAACACCAGCTACAAGCGTGAACTCTCCTGTATTTAATGCTTATTAAGGACACGATGTAAAGCCAAAGAATTCTAAATTGTTTGATGGTGAACCCACCTCGTTCCTAAGTACGAAGGAAAGTGTGTCCTCTGAGAGATATTAACCAGCTGCAATGGAGTGAAAACCCTATGTTCAATTGAGAAATCTTATGTATATGCAACGTTACCTTCAGCACTGACAGCAAACCTTTAAAACAATGTTAACTGTATATGTAAATATATATGTATATGTATAAATATGGATAATTTTATTTTCTCCACTAAGAAAGGGAAAAAAAATTCTAATAAGTTTCTATAAACTGCTGTGTTTGCCCACCTGAAATATGGATTTGAGGCAAGATGCTTTGCAGGAAATCCCATTGCAGGCTTCTGATAATCATATGAACTGTGGTAATCGTATAAACTGCTAATTATCAGTTACCAGCGCACAAAATGGGCAGGAACAGGAGCATGAGGCCTTCAACCCAGCCCAGGGGTCCCGTGTCCCCAGAATACCTGATCAGACACCCGTACAGTCACTGCCACAACAGGGACCCTCACAGTGAGTGTGGGGAAATGGAGAGACTCACTTTTCAGCGGAGCATCCCCACAGCAGAGGGATTTGCATTGACTCAGGTAGACAGCTCCTGAGACCATCATCCTGAGACCCAAATAAACAACTTGCAGCATAAACATGCATCAAGATACCTGAGGAAAACAGAAAGTTGCTATATCCTTACTTTGTTTTACTTGAGAAAATTCAGGATTATCCTGAATCCCATGAAGAGAAGGGGAAAGAAGAGAAAAACTTGTATTGAGAAGCTTATTGTGTAAGTTTGTGTCTTCTTTGTGCTGCCATTTCCTCCATGCCATAAGCCTGCTCCTGCGTTTCCTCACTGGGAGATTTCTAATTAATCCAAAAGAAATCTTATGTATATGCAACGTTACCTTCAGCACTGACAGCAAACCTTTAAAATAAGATTAACTGTATATGTATATATATATAGTATATGTATAAATATGGATAATTTTATTTTCTCCACTAAGAAAGGGAAAAAAAAATTCTAAGTTTCTATAAACTGCTGTGTTTGCCCACCTGAAATATGGATTTGAGGCAAGATACTTTGCAGGAAATTCCATCGCAGGCTTCTGATAATCATATGAACTGTGATAATCGTATTAACTGCTAATTATCAGTTACCAGTGCACAAAATGAGCAGGAACGGGCAGGAACAGGAGTGTGAGGCCTTCAACCCAGCCCAGGGGTCCCGTGTCCCCAAAATACCTCATCACACCCCCGTACAGTCACTGCCACAACAGGGACCCTCACAGTGAGTGTGGGGAAATGGAGAGACTCACTTTTCAGCAGAGCATCCCCACAGCAGAGGGATTTGCATTAACTGAGGTAGACAGCTCCTGAGACCATCATCCTGAGACCCAAATAAACAACTTGCAGCATAAACACGCATCAAGATACCTGAGGAAAACAGAAAGTGACTATATCCTTACTTTGTTTTACTTGAGAAAATTCAGGATTATCCTGAATCCCATGAAGAGAAGGGGAAAGAAGAGAAAAACTTGTATTGAGAAGCTTATTGTGTAAGTTTGTGTCTTCTTTGTGCTGCCATTTCCTCCATGCCATAAGCCTGCTCCTGCGTTTCCTCACTGGGAGATTTCTAATTAATCCAAAAGTTTCATGCATTCAAAAGAAAAAGCATTTGTTCTTTTTACAGATGAAAAACCATCACCATGGTTTAAAAAAAAAAAAACCCAAACAAAAAAACCAGCTCCAAAACTTGTATTGAGAAGCTTATTGTGTAAGTTTGTGTCTTATTTGTGCTGCCATTTCCTCCATGCCATAAGCCTCCTCCTGCATTTTCTCACTGGGAGATTTCTAGTTCATCCAAAAATTTCATGCATTCAAAAGAAAAAGCATTTGTTCTTTTTACAGATGGAAAACCACCACCATGGTTTAAAAAAACCAAACCAAACCAAACCATCTCCTGTTTAATCATCTAAATCTTCTGCCTCCTCTTACTCGCATAAATCACAACTAAGAAACTTTGTATTTTCACAATAAATTTAATCAGCTTTGGAACAGTCATTAAAAAAAACCCCACAGCAATGTCATTCTGGCAGGCTTTCCGTTTTTTTTTTTTCAGACTTTTCTCATCACGACCACTAGAAACATTCTCTACAAGTTAAACTTTTGATACAACTTGAAGATTATCTGATTAGCACATTCCTTTTTTTAAAAAGCAGCTTTTCTGAAAGCAATCTTCCTGGTTTGATTATTATCAGTAGTATTTGGCTCTTTAAGCATTCGTTGTTTTCCCCCCTTTTTTTCCTTCCTCATTTCAGCAAATTGCTCTGTATCCCCCCAAAATAATCATCTCACTCCTGCTGCTTTGCTGCCAGTCCACAAAATCAATAAGGTCTCTGAGAATTTTCATCTTGGCAGGTACATTATTTTTCATCTCCAGCCAGGACATTGGAAATGCTTTTATACGATCAACTTCATCGTGGGTTTTGCTCACCTGTAGGCAAACCCCCCCGATAAACACAGCGCTGCGAGATGGAACAGCAGAGCTGGGGATGTGAGAATCCCTGATGGACAACAACATTTTGATGGCGATAGGAACAGGGGATGCAATATTCCATTGATCTGGATCTTTCCTCCATAAACACAGGGGTTTTGTCGTGACAAGCATAAATTGAGAAACAAAGCCAAATACACAAAACCTGAATTTTCACAATAAATTTAATCAGCTTTGGAATAGTCACTAAAAAAGACCCACAGCAATGTCATTCTGGCAGGCTTTCCGTTTTTTTCAGACTTTTCTCATCATGACCACTAGAAGCATTCTCTACAAGTTAATCCTCAAGTTGTATCAAAAATTTATCTGATTAGCACATTCCTTTTTTTAAAAAGCAGCTTTTCTGAAAGCAATCTTCCTGGTTTGATTATTATCAGTAGTATTTGGCTCTTTATTAACACTCCAGATGTCATTCAAACTTAAATACAGCTATTTTAAATATCTGCAGTTTCATTCAATCATTTTCTTCCGAAGTGACTGTCCTAAGAGATACAGTGTGGGCAAGTCGGCTATTGGTGTAAAGATGTAGCCAGCACCATAAAAACAGTTTTGAAAAACAGTAAAGTATGTGCTTGGCTCCATTCCTTAGTCCTTTTTCCCCTAAACAGCTCACAGCATTATTCCAGCCATCACTAACCAAGCATGAGGTTTCCAGAATATCCCTTTCAGACAAAAGAAAGCAAGAGGCGAGTTCTACAGGTAACTTTTAATTCAAGTCTTGAAAATTTGAGAAGATTCAGGTATTTTTCCCTTCCCAATATGTGTGATTGCATTTATTTACTTATCTTTTTACCTTTTGCTATACAACTGTATTAGTTATCACCAGTTACCCTTTTCATTCTTAAACGACAGCACAAATAGTCATGACACCTCACAGTAGCCCTGCTTGCCATTTATGCAAAATTAAAAAAAAAAATATATATATTAAGCCTTTAATCTTCTGGCAAGGCAGGATTTTCTCTTCATGTATTAATAGCTGTGCCTGGCAGAACACACGGAAGGTGCCGACACTCGTGACTAATCTAGATGAAGTTCAAGTTAGCTGACAGGAGATCTTTCTCTTCGGTTCTTCACTCAGCTCTTACTCATCCCAGGTATCTCCATATTTATTTACTTTAACTAAAGAAAAGAAGAAAAAAAAAAAGTAGTTACACACAACTTAAATTAACTGCAAAACTTTTATACAGGGCTGAAAAGTAGGATGAAATGCATTATCATTTAAAGTGGAGAGAGTGTCAGTCACAGCACAACAGACACCTAATTAAAGGTACTTTAGAATAAATGGGGAGAAGAGTTTGTTAATCGTTATTCTTTAATGAATTAATATTCAGTCAAGAGGCCTACTGTGCTAATTCCTGCTCTGCAGAATTCCTAATTGCTTTGAAACAAATGTAACATGTGGATGAAACAAAGACAATTGGAGGAAACGGGCAAGGAATGTTACGATAAATAATGTGGCTACATAATCTCCTTACGTGCGCAATTGGATGGATTCAGGGTAAAGACACATTCAAAGACAAACAAACAAAAATCAGTAATTCCTACTAGGAAACTACTCAGCCATTATTATTTGGCAGCTTCCTTTAGTGTAGGAGTGAGTCAGAGTGTGAAAAAAACCCCAGGATACTGGTTTTAACGGATTTATTCAGAAGTACATGGTGAGTAACTGAACAAGAACCAGAAAGTGAAAAGATGCCCTTGGGGGAGTGAGCTGCAGAGTCCTCTCTAAGTGACTGCCATCACTGACAGGGCACAGGATGGACCTACACCATCCCACAGGAACGCTGACACGTGTCAGGCACCCCTTTATAAATCTGCTTGCAGATTAATTACTGAGCCTGGCTGGTTATTAATACCTATCTGCAGCAGAAGCAGCGGAATAGAGCAGGACGCGTGGTCCTTGTTTTGGTGAGGTGTCACCAACAGCATTAACACACTGACAAACCTCTCAGCAGCTGACTGATCCCGCAGTGAGGCACGACACACTGACAAACCTCTCAGCAGCTGACTGATACGAGCAGCTCTCCCACAGCACAGCTGGATTCCTGTTCCTGTTCACCGTGGGAGCTGAGCAGGCCACACTCACTCCCTGGAACACGCTCCGCTCCCCATCTCCATGCAGATGCAGGTATTTGTCTGGCCACAATGACCGGAGAAGGCACCGGCAGGTGGAAGTTAGGGACTGCCCAAAACTAGTTCAAACATGGTTTGTTTTCCCTTATGTCCTTGCAAGGGAGGGCAGAAACCACCGTCTCCTATTTGCTAGGCTGGTTCCTGGGACACAGTGATAAGGGGATGAACCAGGGGGTAACGGCTCAGGATGAATAAATGAGTGTACAACACGTCCAGAGAGACACAGGGAGCTAAATCAGATCTTAGCCCACAACAGCAGCACAATCCCTGAACTTAGATTTAAATGTGCTTCCACTTGTAAAACGTTTCTGAACTTTTATATTCCTTCCCTACTCTTTTTCCCTAAAAATACAAAGAGCTACTCTCAAAAGCTTATTTACAAATCTCATGCACTGCTCGGTGTGGTTCTATTCTCAAGGCCTCAGCATAACCATCAAAGGGTATAGAAGATATTCCTTCCCTACTCTTTTTCCCTAAAAAAACAAAGAGCTACTCTTTAAAAATCTCATGCACTGCTCAGTGGGGCTCTATTCTCAAGGCCTCAGCAAAACCATCAAAGGGTATAGAAAAAAAATCTTTCCTGTGAGGGTGGTGAGACACTGGAACGGAACAGGTTGCCCAGAGAAGCTGTGGCTGCCCCATCCCTGGAGGTGTTCAAGGCCAGGCTGGATGGGGCTTGGAGCAACCTGGTCTGGTGAGAGGTGTCCCTGCCCATGGCAGGGGGGTTGGAACTCAGTGATCTTTAAGGTCCCTTCCAACCCAAACCATTCTATGATTCTATGAAGGGAACACAGAAGCATAACAGACAATGCAATATTTGATCAACATTTTACAGAGGTCTTTTATAGCCCTCAAATAACTAAAAATAAAATAATGAATCCATATTCTTATTTCACAGCCACAAGATTTGCCATGGAATACGGCAAGGTTTGGAATACGTTGCCTAGGATTTCTGTGCATGATTTTCAAGTGCCATGTCTAGGCTTTCTATTTGTGGAGAAGTATCTTGAAAAAGAAACGTGTAGCCTAGGATTTCTGTGCATGATTTTCAAGTGCTATGTCTAGGCTATTTGTGGAGAAATATCTTGAAAAAGAAACGTGTAAATCAATGAAGTGTCAGCTGATGGAATTTAGAAGCCATCTGAAACTACAGCTTCAATAGGTTTTTAATGCCTTATTCGGCAGAGTCACGTGAGAAGAGAAAAAGGCTTTCATCCTTAAAATACAAAATTATAAACAATTATTGGGTAATGTTATTTCAAAACCACATAGATCTGTCCAAAGACAGATGATCTGGAGAAAGTAAATCACACGGATGAAACAGACTGAGGCTCCTAAGCAACACTGTTTCAAAGCTCACTGTTAGTGCTTCCCAACCTTTTGCATTTAATTGCCTAACCTTATTGCTGCCTGTTATGCCCCACTGGAGACATTCCTACAAATCATGTTGCAGTGTGATTTTATGCCCCACTGGAGACATTCCTACAAATCTTGTTGCAGCATGATTGACGAGAGTGAACACTGCAGACAAACCCAAACGACTGGAGCTGACTACTCCAGCAGCGTGTTAAACGCCAAAACGTTCCTCTTGCCAACAGGGTTTTCACAGATGCCCCACTAAATAAAAAAAAAAAACAAGCCCTAGAGCAAGCAGTTATGAATGACTTACATGTCTCCTTTTCAAAAAAATTGATTGAGTCCAAAAGTTGACTGAATGGCATCGCATTCTTATTTTGCTGGGTAAAGTTTTGTTTTTCACTGGGAAAACAAATCTCAATATTGCTGCCAAACACTGTTTCCTTCCTTTGAGTTTTAATGTAGAAAATGAACCTCTACAAACAATGCCTCTATAGAAATCCTCTAATTCCACATGAAACAATTCATAAAAGTACATACACCCCCCCCCCTTCAAAACCATCAGCCATGTGCTCTATTTTGAGAGAACAATGCTATCTAAAACACACACCCCCTTCCAAAGCTAAACCTCCTCAGTATAGCTCTGAGCTCAGAGAATTCTTTGTTGAAAGAGGTTGCTCAATATATATTCAATAACCCAAAAGTTATGAGATTTTGAGTCTGGCACCAAGCAACGTGGCTGGAGAAGAGGAATTATAATTTGCTATTGGAAGATCAGTATTTTTGAAAAACCAATTAATTTGAAATATGAAACTGCAGACCACATCACACATGAGATACCTGCAGATACTGTAAAATGAATTGCTTAAAGGGTAAGCAAAATTGCCATTTTAAACATTATTGCCAATATTTGAATTTACTACATATTGCTATAAATCAGTGTATTACCTTCCTTAGCTGGTTTTTCCTGTGAAAACTTGCTTGGAGTTTCTACCTTTGGTGGTTGCATTACCTCATACGTCTCTCTGTGTTTATTCCTTAATTCCTCATATGTGATGCCTTTCTTTTTACGACTTTCTTCTGGAATTGGAGCAGGTTCTGAAAAAAACCAACCAACCCAAACACCAAGATACTAAAAATGGCATCACACACCAAAACTTGGCTACAACCTGTTCGAGAACAGCAGTTAATTACAGCTCAATCCCAAATGAAAAGGAGCATGACAGCTGCAATTCTAAATGCAACTGGGAATGTCTGCGCTCTTTAATTAATCCACTCCTTTTATCCTTTTCATTTTGTCAAACTGCTTCTGGAAGATTGGCAGTTAACTCCTTTTCTTCATTTTACCCAGTGGAAAGCCAAACAACCACGTGGTAGTTGATGGATAAAATAGGTCTGGTCACTTCATGTAAAATCTAATATAATCATACATTTGCTATATTTATGATTGCTGAAGAGAAATCGGGGTGAAGCTCAAAGGTTTGTATTCGGGCTTTAGATTCTGCTTTCAAAGAGTTAGGACTGTATCCATCATCATGTGTCACCTGATAAACATTTTATCCTTTTATCTACATTTATGATGCAGAATCTTGGTTCTATAATTAAGGTTCTACCAACTATTGATATTTGTGATGAAGCATAATTACAATTTCCTTGACACATTTCCATCCAATACTTGTATATAACTAGAATTGAGTTGCATGAAAGGGCTTTTTTTTTGGGAAATAAAACCTTTTCCAGAAAGCGGTTAAAAAATCCAAACTAATTCAACGTGTGAAACTCAGCATTTGAGAGGAACTTCCTCCTTTGTGCAGCAGGGAGACCTGAATTCAGGAGTGTGTGTTTCCCCTGCAGTAGCTGAGGCCAGAGTTCAGCTGGAGGGAGGGGAACAGCTGCACCCAACAGGGCCCGAAAACCATTTCAGTTCTCCCTGAGAACATCAGCTGTTGCTGCACAGGACACAATACACATTCAGTTCTCAGAAGATTTAAATGTTTGTCACATTATTAAAAAAAAAGAACAGTTTAATGTCACTGAGTTCTAGTAGGACGCAGTTACAGCACTACCTCTGGGGAAAACAACCTCAGAAAGGCTAGGAGAGAAATAGCAGGGACTATGGGAGGTGTATTCATCTTCATTTCTATGAAAAAACTTCAATTCAGGCTGAAGGGTTTTTGCAGCTTTAGTTTCACAACAGATTAAAGCTTTTAAGTTAATTTACAGTCTTTACTTGCAATTAGAGCTACAAAACATGAAAAAAAAAATCCCTGAATTTAGTTTACAGTTAGAACACAAAATTATACATATATATATATATATCTATCTTTGGTGTAAAAACAAGTCTGGGAACTTCAAGCTGTTTCATTCAAAACCGCTACATCATACCGTGTATGTTTGCATGGGATGAAAATAGATAGTTTTGGAAGAGAAGTATCCAAGAGAAAGGCAAGAGTCACTGTAGTACCAACTGCTAAATACTAAGACCAAACACACCTTGGGCAGGGTAGTCAGTAATTCCTGTAGGCGAGGATTCATTCAGGGAAGCACTGAAGGGAACGGGTTCGTAGCTGGAGAGGGCTCGGTCTGTGGAACTATAATCGTCTGAATAGCTAGAAGGGAGCGGGAATCCAGCTCTTGGAGAAGAGGATTCAGTAAAGGACTGAGGAGGCATGTCTGAAAATTCAGATTTCCGACTGGTACGGCTGGAAAAAGAAATACTAAAGTTAAAAATGGAACTATGAGAGTACCGTTAAGCGCAGTTCAAGAAAATGCTCTTTTATTTCAAATGGCTTAGTTTCTAACATGAATTATCGTCACCTGAAAATCTCCAGAAGAGAAGACAAAAGAGACAAAAGTATTTTGCACTTTACAAGACAAAAATGACAATCCCTCCCCTCAGGGAGTCTTCAGACAGGAAAAAAAAAAGCATCAGGCACAAACAGCAGAGGGTGTGCCCACGTAACTAGTGGTAGCACGAACTATAGTTATTTTTAAAGGCCTTTGAGGAAGAATTTGCAACTTAAACCCCTTCCTCATTAGAAGCTGCTGTAATTGATCAGTACTGACGAGCAGAAGAAAAGAATGAAGAGCTATCTTGGCGAAAATTAAATGATGGAGGTTTATTGAGTTGCAGAGACATTAACAAATTTTCTCTTACGAGGGAGAGGTAAGATAAATAAAGAATATTCTGGAAACTGATGCCTGATATTGTAAAGCATTCGCTACATACTCGGAATGGCACTGCAAACCACTACACAACATGTCTCTTCATTAAGAAAGACACGACTTGGTGCCACCGAGATGTCTCTAGAGTATTTATTTTCTTACTTTGAATTTCTGCTTAGCTGTACTTTTAGTTTCATATGAAAAACATTCGCAATTGGTTTCTGTTTTATTCTCACAATAAACAGAAGTAAGCCATTTTATTGCCTCAGTTATATTTTAAAGTATATGTAAACACAGCTTTAAAGAACTACCTAGTCTTTTAGCTTCCCATCTACTTTTAACAGCAAATCAGAATTACCAAAATATATTAATTAGTAGATGGATAATGACACTGAAAAAGTAATGACTTCTATTGCTGGCTTAAAAGAGTAGCGTGTATGGACAGTAATGCAATTTGAATGAATTTAAATTAATCATTCAACCAGGGGAAAAAAAAAAAAAAAGAATTTATGACTTAGGAAATACAATTTTACAGACACAAAAGAATGGGCCATTAAAGGTTGAAGGGACTTATGGTGCAGCAGATGACAGCATTTGAAAACATTCTCCCCTGGAGTAAACACAGTTAACAATCATGGCAATTTCTTATTACAAACTGAAGGGAGGTGAAGAGACCAGTCCAGCTTGAATTCAGCTGAGTTTATACAGCAAATGCATAAAGTGATGATTCCAAAAATTATGTTTGAAGCCATAGAAATGAAAACATTTCAGAATAAAAGTAAATTTTGCAGACAAAACTGCCATAAATCTGAATTATAAAGTAATTAAGAATATAATCAAATCCTTGATAAACATTTAACAAATCTTGGCACATACCTAGCAGGACTACTTCTCACTATCCAAACACTATTCTCCCAGTTTCGAATCAAGGGTTTAAGTGAGATATTCCGAAAGTAGTTTGCAATTAAAAACCACTTGAGGTAGAAAACATTTTGGAACAAAACAGGAAATAGTTTTAAGAACCTGATGAGTTTCTCATATGTACAGCATAATGCTCTTACAGATGTAAAGGATTTAAACAAACAGCAGTAAGTTTGACCACCATTCTTCTTCCTGCACTGATATTGTTTACCGAGCTCTTTCCTTTGATAAACACTGAAATCATTTCCACCCTCTTCCTACTTCAATCAAACTAAACTATGGGAAAAACTTCCAGAACATAACACTATTTTATTTCAGTTAACTTAGTTTACTTCTAAACTAAGGGGGCAACTTCTAGAGTCACACTACTGGAAGTAAATTCCACAGGAAAACACCACCTAAATTTACAAGGAATCCATTTTACTAAGTAAAATGTTTCTTTTTCTACCCCTCAAAGTGATCAGGTGTATGTAAAGAGCTCAAAATGCACGTTTTACAGCTGGCCAAGTGGGACAGATACAGCTTCCTCAAAGTGGCAGATCTGGCGTAACATGGGAAACAGGGAAGGGGCAGCTCGGAAGGTCTTTGAAAGCTGCAAATGTAGCCTTGATCTTAGTGTTTAAAAAGTCCTATTTAAGAATAAGTTTTAAAAAGAGAATTAAATTCTTACTTATGTGAACTATGTCTCTGAGCTTGTCGTAGAACATCTCCTATTGGGGAATCCTTCAGTTGCTTAAATTTCTCGCTACAGATTGGTATGTAGGATATCTTTCCAGCCAGGTATCCACACATTCCAGCAACTTTTTTAAAAGAAAAAAAAAAAAAAAGAAAAAAGATGATTTTATATGCTGTATCATAACATTCAACATAGGTTTAAAATAATAATTGTCAAATAAATTATACAGTATCTGGAATAAATGAAAAAAAGAGTTTAGATCTAACCCAAAACCATGCAGTAATTATCTTTCTCTGCTTCTTCTGCAGACAAAGGGTACTAAAAGCAAACGCAACAGCTGACCAGAGACACAGAGGAGTGACTGAGACATGGCATGAGCATCAGATGATTTCAGCTAGTACTTGATGAATGAAAGGTGACAAAAAAAAAAAAAAAGGAAAATAATTGCAATCACTTTTTCCCAACAACCAGAAATACCAATTAACTATCAAAGGTGATAAAAAAAGTGGGGGATAAACAAAGGTAGTAAATTCTGCTAATTTAATCCATCAGAACATTCAGATCTTGAAAAGGCTTTCACTAACATGAAGAGAATTCTAAATAAACTTCGCATTAGGCTCAGTGTCTTCTGAAGAGGATCCTATGAAATGGTTGCCAGGAGGCAAACAACTGAATTAGCCGAACCCCCCCCAATCTCCAGGCAAATGCTTTCAATTTAGTGCCTTAGCTATTTTCATGTGCTAGACAGGACATAAGAATAAACCACCACAGTAGCTCTTTCTGGGCTTAAAAACTGATGATTTCCATCAACTGGCTCCTTCAAGTTTTATGAGTGGGTAAATGGAGTATGAAGGATCATGAAGGATTCAATGGCAATTAATAGAAGCTTTGTTGTTGACTTTGTAGGAGAAAAGAACTAGACCCTTCTTTCATATCAACGAGTATTTTCTAAATACAAAGACTAAAGACTCTCAATCATCTTTAAGTCAGGAAAGAGTTAATTACCAGTAACATTAATCCTCTGAGGTCCTCAAGCTGTAGATTACATTGCCTGGGAATCAATATAAAAGGGGATTTTACCCTACCCTGCTGTACTGGTACGGAAATTGTGATTCCTGTTCTAATCTCTCTATTTCAAAAGGAGGTTAAAAATCCTTTTTTGAGGGAAGAGAGAAGAACAGCCACAACTATAAGCCAAGTTCACAAATGAGAAATGCAAGGGTTTAGCTGTTTAGCAGGTCAAAAAAAAATTGGAAGACACCTCAAGTATGTACTAAAGGGAAAAATTGCAAGCCCCTAAAAGGAAAAATGGCCTGACAAGAATTCAAACTAAATATTTAGCAAAATAAAGCTAAGCAGCAAAGGTGATTAATCCTTGGCAGAAATCACAAAGAGAAAGCTTCCTTTCCTTGAGGCCTTCCAGATAAGAAAAGTGAAAGCATCTCTCTGTAAGATGTTTCACCCGAAGTAATTATTGGCTAAAATACTTGGTTTCTCTTATTACAGAACTATGAGCCAGATGATCCATGTTTTCAAAGGTAGCACAGTAAATTAGTTACTGTTGCTCTCTGCTTCTTCTGTATTTGTAAAAGAGGCCAGGTCCCACTGCAGGCTGACATGAGGAAGGACACACTGATCTTACCCTTCTTTGCCAAAGAGGGGTAGAGGAGACGGGTAGCTCCATGCTGACAATTTAGTGTGTCGGTCACAACTAACTCCATTAAATTGTCAGGGTGTCTGGGAGACTACTGAGAGAAGTTATGAGTAATTCCTATCTAGAACATGAAACACCTCTCTGCTTCCAGATAAAATCAAGAGGGGCAAATTGGGGTAAGATGCATCATGGAGACTCAAAATGACCTGATTCAACTATGTCAGTTAGAGAAGACCCATTACTGCGTTCAGGCATAGGTGCTCTTTAGAAAAAGAATCAAGCAACCACGAGTGACACACACCACTATAAAAGGCAGACTATTGTAACCACCAGATGCAGAAGCAGCATGGTTAGATCAGTGACACCAGAAAAGCAAGAACTCTCTTATTATTGTTGTTTAACATCAGCTATGAGCTACCAGCGCTGCCTGCAATTGCTCTTCTTTCAGAACTCGTGGAGGGAAAAAAAACTAAACAAAACCACAACTGCACTGCTTCCTTTAATCAGATTTCACTGCAGGAGGAATGTGCAGTTAAATTATGAGACATAATTTGAACCTGTAAACTATGTCCCTGGCAATAGTTTTCAGGAAGATCCTGTAGACAGTAGGGGCACCTGACCTAAACAATACGAGGATGAAACGAAAACTGCTTAACTCAGGCCTTTTACACTCCAACTACCTCCCAGAAAAATCCCCGTATTTCAAATACACATAAATCACATGAAGTTACCTACTGGAAAACAACCAAAACAAATTCTTTTGGTATAAAATGAAAGTCCACGTGTCAACCAGGGTACATCCAAAAGGAGCAGCCAGAAGTATTTTGGCTTATACTCTTAACGTCAAGAATAACTGGTCCAGTCCAGCTGCTCCTATTTTCCCCCTTGATTTCAAACTATTAAATAGGAGGAGTGTAGCCCTTAGAAAAGTGTAGGAGGTATCAGGGAAACAGCAATTCTATTATTTATTAGAACTGTTTGTGTTATTAACATTGTTTGGGGTTCAAAGAAAGCAAGTAGAATTTAGTATAAACAAATGGCCGCCCTAGTCTCTCACATTCATTTATCTGCTCCAACACCACTTCCTTCACCACAAATCATGGGTTTTACCTTCTTCCCACTGGAGTAAACTCTAAGAGTAACTGGCTATATATGGGCAGATTGGCAAGATGGCAACTTCCTGTTTTACTGTCATCTATTACATTGAAAAGGTTAATTTATTAATTTATTTTTTGATTATACTTAATCCAAAATCATTCACAAGAAATAGCTGTTTTCCTACAATTGTACATACATAATGTCCAGGAAAAAAATGGTACTAAAATAGCCTGAATGGGACAAGTGAGCTGCATGAATAAAGACCTTCAAATTAGGAAGGGAGGGGTGGGTGTACTCTGGCAAAGTAATTTAAAGTAAGCTCGTACAGTATTTATTTACAGTGGTTTTAATCTTAAATTCTTACGTTACACTTGTCAAACGTATTCAAAACTTGCCCAAAATGCGCTGTATAAATTTGAGGATGGTGAATAAATCACAGAATCACAGAATCTTCTAGGTTGGAAGGGACCTTAAAGAACATCTTGTCCAACCGTCAACCTAACTCTGACAAAAATAGACACCCACACAACAAACAAGGAGCATCATCACTAAACCATACCTCCCAGCACTACATCAACCCGTCTTTTGAACACCTCCAGGGATGGTGCCTCAACCACCTCCCTGGGCAGCCCATTCCAATGCCTGATAACCCTTTCAGTGAAAAAAAATTGCCTAATATCCAGCCTGAACCTCCCCTGGTGCAACTTGAGGCCATTTCCTCTTGTCCTGTCGCCTGTGACTTGAGAAAAGAGACCAACCCCCACCTCTCTACCCCCTCCTTTCAGGGAGTTGTAGAGAGCAATAAGGTCTCCCCTCAGCCTCCTCTTCTCCAGGCTGAATAACCCTAGTTACCTCAGCCTCTCCTCGTAAGACTTATTCTCCAGACCCCTCACCATCTTTGTCGCCCTTCTCTGGACCCGCTCCAGCACCTCAATGTCTTTTTTATGGTAGGGGGCCCAAAACTGGACACAGTACTCAAGGTGAGGCCTCTTGACACTGAATAAGTTTTTTTTGCAGCGTGAGATGCTGCAGTTCAGAAACAGAACTAAAAAGTTGCTGACCGATAGAATGAACTGCAGGAAGGTGAAAGTTACTCGTCGGACGTATCTTCAGGCACAGCTCTACCCCTGCAAGCAGCGAGTGGAGTGACAGGGAATCAGCCGGGCCCACAGGAATTGCATCACTGCATCTGCCCAACAGACTCCAGAACCGACGGCGTGAACACGAGCAGGATTTATACGTAGCTCTTACTTACATGCAACTTTGGTAAAAGAGCCAAATCTTGAGCTGTCCCTTAGAATACCTGAAAACGAGGATTAAAGAAATAAGTTATTAAGAATCAGGCTGAAAAACATCAACTATAGCTATGCTTGCAGGTAGCAGGTTGCTCTTTTACACTTAACGTTGAAGAACATTCAAGAAAATCTAGCATCTGAATTCCCCATGAAATTACAAAGATCTAAGAACTACCCATTTAATTATATCACACACGGTATTACTACACATTGTAGAATATAATGTTTCATAATCCCTGAGATATTACATTTGTCAGACCAAAAATGAACATGAATTTGATTTCAGCTTAAAGTTTTGCTCCTTCAGTTTTAGGAACTGCAAGTCATGTAGCTGAAAAGTCTAAATTTTTAATTACAAGTAGATTAGACATTATATTATTATAGTAACTTTATAAACAGCAGAAATATATTTCATCTGAGCAAATCCAAATTAACCCAAAGAATGTTTACACTTTACCTCTCCTAATTAAGAAACTAGTAGCAAGCATGCTCGCCGCAGCCAAAGGAAAAGCTGTAAAGAAGAAGAAAAGTTGCTTAAAATATGATTATCAACATTTTCAACCACATTTAACAAAATACGCAATAAAATGAGAGTTCCTAGGCCTTACTAAGCTCATCTGTATAAGAATATAAGTGTATATATAGAGTTAGCAAACTATATATAAATTATGAAACATTCTCAACTCGAGTTCTTGAGACCTACTACAAATTATGCAGTTCTGGTTAACGAGTCATCCTGTCTTCATGCTTCCTAAAATGCAAAAGTCAATGGCAGGTGGGATAAAGCTCTAAGGAAAAGATTCCAGCTCTGGCTATGGCTGCTACAGCATCAAGGTGGAGCAGAACTCGAAACCAGAGCCGCACACACAGCTCTTCAGGACGGAAAGCAGGTACACAGAGGCCAGTGCCTCTTAAAAATTTCTGATAACCAAAAGTCTTGACTTCGTTTTAACATAAGAATGTTAGAAAAAGTCTAACTCTTACAGAGATATAAATTAAATTGATTAAAATTAGGTAACCGGTTTTATTCACCAGCAAATTAAAGAACAGGGCAGCTTTTTCTGTAGCTTATGGATCAAACTGTATGATTCAAGGGTAGGGTCAGGAATGCAGAGAAGACGACAAACACGGAAGACATTCCTGCCCGTCGCAATCAGCTTCACAGTTCACAGCAGGGTTTATCACATTAGAGGAGCCCAGGTGGCAGGAAGCGTTTGAAGACAGCAAGAAACAAAAGGAATGCTTGTCAAGCAATGGTAACTATGAATGGGGAAGATTAACTTTGAAACTATTCATAAAGACCACCACAGCTACACAAGACACAGTGACACTGAAATATCGACCCTGACAGAAGACTAAAGTTAATTAAAGATTTAGATGTGTCACAATGAAATGACATTTTAAGCAGGTCTGAAAACGTAGATGCTACAAAAAGGCTCTCCTACTTTCCCTAGGGGAGAAATTTCTGCAACAGCACTAGATTTTATAGTGTTTTGAACACACAATCTGCTAATTAAGTTCATATTTGAAGATAAATTATTTTTTTTTTATAATTTGGACAGCACAATATTAAAATATATTTTGTGAACTAAAAGTTTATTCCTTCACAAATTCTGACAGGTTAAAACTAGCAGGTCCAACCAGCATTTTAGAGTAAATATGACTTGATGTCACTTTTAAGAAAAAGTATTGGCTCCACAGTTCACATGCAAGATTACAGTAACACTTCAAAATGGAGAATAAATTCCTACAATCTACTGAAGAATAAAACCCTGATGCTTTCAGAGATTCTAGATCTAGATTTTCCAAAATTTAGAGTTCTACATTTTCTAGGTAGAGAATGGCCAGGCAGATTTTAAGCTAAATCGTAAGAGGAAAAGAATAATAGGGGAGGTAAAAAAAACCCAATCCTAATGAACTTATTACCAAGGACTTCAGTCTAACCCTTCGAGGTTTGAAATGACTTATAGGTCCAACACAAATATTCCGGACATCAAAGACAGGTTATGCACTTTAGTGGAAACAGCTGCTAGTATGTGAACGTATAAATGACCTAAAGTGGTAACTAGAAATTAAAAGAATAATAGGTAAATGAAAATTGGGTTCATACATAAAAAAGTGCAGAAAAAAAAACAAAGGCAGTTTAATAAATTGGAAAATATCAATGCTTTTCACTGCTACGGGCAAATGGGATTTTTTTCTGCTTCAGGAACAAAATAAATTGTAAGAAAAATAATCAAAGGCTGATATATCAACAGCACATAATTAAGGATAGCAATGAAATGTACCCTGCCAGAGTAAGGTCAACCAGAGCAGGCTGGACAGGAACCCATCCAGGTGGGGTCTGAATATCTCCAGAGAAGGAGACTTCACACCCTCTCTGGGCAGCCTGTTCCAGTGCTCCATCACCCTCAAAGTAAAGAGGTTTTTCCTCACGTTAAGATGGAATTTCCTGTGTTCTGGTTTGTTGCCAGGCGCCACTGAGAAGAGTCTGGCCCCATCCTCTTGACACCCGCCCTTTAGATATTGATAAGCATTGATGAGATCCCCTCTCAGTCTTCTCTTCTCCAGACTAAGCAGACCCAGGTCTCTCAGCCTCTCCTCATGAGAGGTGCTCCACTCCCTTGATGATCTTTGTAGACCTCTGCTGTACCCTCTCCAGCAGTTCCTTGTCTTTCTTGAACTGGGGGACCCAGAACTGGACACAGTTCTCCAGATGTGGCCTCACCAGGACAGAGTAGAGGGGGAGGATGACCTCCCTCAACTTGCTGGCCACGCTCTTTTTACTGCACCCCAGGGGACCTAAAGTGGTAACTAGAAATTAAAAGAATAATAGGTAAATGAAAATTGGGTTCATACATAAAAAAGTGCAGAAAAAAAAACAAAGGCAGTTTAATAAATTGGAAAATATCAATGCTTTTCACTGCTACGGGCAAATGGGATTTTTTTCTGCTTCAGGAACAAAATAAATTGTAAGAAAAATAATCAAAGGCTGATATATCAACAGCACATAATTAAGGATAGCAATGAAATGTACCCTGCCAGAGTAAGGTCAACCAGAGCAGGCTGGACAGGAACCCATCCAGGTGGGGTCTGAATATCTCCAGAGAAGGAGACTTCACACCCTCTCTGGGCAGCCTGTTCCAGTGCTCCATCACCCTCAAAGTAAAGAGGTTTTTCCTCACGTTAAGATGGAATTTCCTGTGTTCTGGTTTGTTGCCAGGCGCCACTGAGAAGAGTCTGGCCCCATCCTCTTGACACCCGCCCTTTAGATATTGATAAGCATTGATGAGATCCCCTCTCAGTCTTCTCTTCTCCAGACTAAGCAGACCCAGGTCTCTCAGCCTCTCCTCATGAGAGGTGCTCCACTCCCTTGATGATCTTTGTAGACCTCTGCTGTACCCTCTCCAGCAGTTCCTTGTCTTTCTTGAACTGGGGGACCCAGAACTGGACACAGTTCTCCAGATGTGGCCTCACCAGGACAGAGTAGAGGGGGAGGATGACCTCCCTCAACTTGCTGGCCACGCTCTTTTTACTGCACCCCAGGGGACCACTGGCCTTCTTGGCCACAAGGGCACATTGCTGGCTCATGGTCATCCTGTTGTCCACCAGGACTCCCAGGTCCCCCTCTGCAGAGCTGCTCTCCAGCAGGTCAGCCCCCAACCTGTACTGGTGCGTGGGGTTATTCCTCCACAGATGCAGCACCCTACACTTGCCCTTGTTGAACTTCATCAGGTTCCTCACTGCCCAACTCTCCAACCTGTCCACTTCTCACTGTATGGTGGCACAGCCTTCTGGTGTGTCAGCCACCCCTCCCAGTTTTGTGTCATCACCAAACTTGCTGAGGGTACGCTCTGTCCCCTCATCCAGGTCGTTAATGAATATATTGAGTAAGACCAGACCCAGCACTGGCCCTTGGGGACACAACTAGTTACAGGCCTCCATCCCTCTCTGGGCAGCCTGTTCCAGTGCTCCATCACCCTCAAAGTAAAGAGGTTTTTCCTCACGTTAAGATGGAATTTCCTGTGTTCTGGTTTGTTGCCAGGCGCCACTGAGAAGAGTCTGGCCCCATCCTCTTGACACCCGCCCTTTAGATATTGATAAGCATTGATGAGATCCCCTCTCAGTCTTCTCTTCTCCAGACTAAGCAGACCCAGGTCTCTCAGCCTCTCCTCATGAGAGGTGCTCCACTCCCTTGATGATCTTTGTAGACCTCTGCTGTACCCTCTCCAGCAGTTCCTTGTCTTTCTTGAACTGGGGGACCCAGAACTGGACACAGTTCTCCAGATGTGGCCTCACCAGGACAGAGTAGAGGGGGAGGATGACCTCCCTCAACTTGCTGGCCACGCTCTTTTTACTGCACCCCAGGGGACCACTGGCCTTCTTGGCCACAAGGGCACATTGCTGGCTCATGGTCATCCTGTTGTCCACCAGGACTCCCAGGTCCCCCTCTGCAGAGCTGCTCTCCAGCAGGTCAGCCCCCAACCTGTACTGGTGCGTGGGGTTATTCCTCCACAGATGCAGCACCCTACACTTGCCCTTGTTGAACTTCATCAGGTTCCTCACTGCCCAACTCTCCAACCTGTCCACTTCTCACTGTATGGTGGCACAGCCTTCTGGTGTGTCAGCCACCCCTCCCAGTTTTGTGTCATCACCAAACTTGCTGAGGGTACGCTCTGTCCCCTCATCCAGGTCGTTAATGAATATATTGAGTAAGACCAGACCCAGCACTGGCCCTTGGGGACACAACTAGTTACAGGCCTCCATCTGATCCCAACCCTCTGAGCTCTGCCATTCAGCCAGTTCTCAATCCACCTCAATACACAAACGTATAGCAATATCTGTGAATAACAAGAACTGATACACTGGCAGCCCACATCTCCTGCAAAGGGACATTCAAACAATATGTATTTAATACAGTGAATACAACAATCCAGGTCCGTGTAACACAGAACAATGAAACAAAGACAGGAGATCTAATAAACAGCAATGGGCTTTAGGCGCTCCCAGGGACAGAATGGCACAGTACACAACCCCCCCAAACATCTCTCAATTACTGTTGTAGTTCCCTGAAGTGAAATTACTGAAGAAACTTCTAAACAATACCTTAATGTTCTATCTCCAGTCTCTGTATAAAGATGCACAGAGCACTAAGTTGGGTTGCCCATCAAGAACTCGCAGCAGAACAAATAACTGCCTCCCCTCTTGTCTTCCAGGAGAGAGACTATCAGTAAGCCATAACCACATCATCACCTTCCTACTAATGAACCTGAGTCTTTTCACTTATGACAATATTATGGCCAGATTTCAGCAAACAAACTCAAGGTTTTCAGGTATTTGAATAAAAGTGAAAGATGAGAATGCCAAAGCAATGGGGAATGATAAAACAGAACTTTGAATCGTTAATTCAAAATCACAATGCCTTAGAAGTTGCCCCGGCTACAAGGAGAAATGAGAGCCCCACTGCACTAAATTTAGCAAATCAGCTGCTAAATTCTTCATACGTCCTGGTTTCTACAAAGCCACCTATCAGCCTCAGGAGGAATCTGCTAGGGTGTGATAAAATAGTGGGTAACAATCACATCAGAAGGCTTGGTCAAACCTCTTGACCAGGTGTATAAAAACCAGGCATGTCTTGAGCCTTCAGATTACAGAAACAATGTAATGCCATCAATTCTCGATGTTTTGTGAAAAAAAACCAATCCAACATAACCTTGATAATTCAAATAAATTAACACAAGACACAAAGTATTCTGTGAAAATAACATTAAGTTTACTATTTCTATATACTAGCTGTAGTACAGAAACCACTGACTGAGAATCCTGGCTTTTCTTTACAGGCAAAAAAGCCCAAATGTCTGGCCGTGCACAGACACAGGAATTTTCTCCAAAAATAGAGCTGAGTGACTACTCATACATTGTTCTCATCACAAGTCTTCATAAAGATGGAAAGCACTGGTTCTAAGCTAAACTATTTTATTCTTGCATTTGTTGTTATCTAAAGATAACAACAAAATGGAAAATAAAAATGTAGCAATAACAAAAAAATAATATTCAGCTATATGACTAAATAAGAGACTCCCTTAATTATATCTATTTTCAGACTTTAAATAAGCTTATTAATTTAAAATATGAGGGGATCCTGTTATAAAGTATAAACCTTACAAAATACGTTGCGCCTTTTACAACACTCCTGTTCTGCAAACTGTAAATCCTACAGGGATCAACGTTTACCAGGATTCAATTTCAGCCTGTGTGAAGCTTGTTAATGAACTGTTGAGACACGCTGACCTGGGCCTTCCTTCCTTAATGCCTCAGATAATAACAAAAACTAAGGCTGGAAGAAAAGCAAGCCCAGTTTACCAGCAAGCTGAACTTACCTCTATAGCGGGCGCTCTCTTCAGCACATTCCTTGAGGAGTCTTCTTTCCTCCTCTGTCGGCACATAAGGCTTAGGGACTTCCCTCTTTCATTAGGGAAATAAATTAGAAGAGAATGAGCGAAAGAAGGTTTGGGGGGTTTTTCAGTTTAAAACTTTGTCTAACTTTCACACCTTGTAGTGCCCGTATTTTCACATAAAGAGCTGGTGCCTTTTGTTGAGAAATACCCCATGAAATATATAATTTTAAAAATCCAGTGCCTCTGCAAAACACACAAGAGCATAACACATTTTGTGCATGCTCAAAGCCCAACTCAGTTCACTCCTGTTTTTCCTTCCAAGAAGCCTGCTTTGCTGCTCCTCGCGACCAGCTTTCCGTGATTAATGAACGTTAACAGCTTATTAAATCCCTGTTCAGAATATTAGCCAGGGTTTTAATGACACGATGTGTGCTGTCCGTGTTTTTACCAGCGGGTGAGGCGGTTTATTCTACTAGAGGTGCGTGACCCTCCACGGTCGCCAAAGGAGACACCCGGCCAGACCGTCGACCGGCAGAAGGACACCGGTACCGGGGAGAACACGAAAAAAACCCCACGAATAGCCGTCGGAAAAGTCTTAAAGGCACCATCCCTGCGTCGGGGCGGCCGAAATGCTGACAGGAACCCACACTCCCCCCTCCCAGGCCTGCAGAGGCCCAGCCGCCTCCCCCCCAAGCCGCAGCGAAGGGGTTCCCCACACAGGCCTGGCGGCTTTGCCCCCACACACGCAGAGCAGCGCCCAACCGAGCCAAGGACAAGTACCTCGGAGGGGTCACCCACCTCCCCGCCGCCGGGACCCTGCCCGGCCTCCATGGCGGGGCGGGGAGGGCAGTGAAGAGCGATGGCTGACCCGGAAGCGGAGCCGGGGTTGCGCGTGCGCGGAACCGCACAACGGGGAGGCGGGGGAGCGGGGGGAGGCGCCCGATCCCGCCTCGGCAGCTTGGGGCGAACGAGCGCCCCTCCCCGCCCCGTGAAAGGTTATTAGGCTATAAGGCTCCTCGGTGGGGCTTCTCCTTGCTCCTTAAACCCCCAACCTGCCCTTCGTGGCCTTGCCTTGTGGGGTAAACCCAGCGGAGAGGCCTGGGCGGGCGGGCCGGCCTCGGGGTAGGCCGTGAGGGCCTCGGGCAAAATGGCGACGCGGGGGGGGCTGAGGGCCAAGGGCCGTGTGTTTATTCGGGCGGTGGAAGGGCTTAAGGTTAGCAGCTGAGGCCTGGAGCCTTCATTTCGATCGTGAGCGTTTCCTTCCTGTGCTTTATCTTGTTTCCTGCCTGCCTTAAGAATGCCACCCTCTTGGCGCGTTTGAGAGCAGGCGCTGCTTCAGGAGTGGCGATTCCCCTTAAAGGTAACCCTGATGTGGCTGGGTCTGTTTTGCACAGTGTGTTGGTGCCTCTCGGCTCTGTAACTGACTTGCTGGTTTTGATAAATGGCAACAAAAAGCCTTTATCTATCAATGCCTAGCTTCAATAGGTATGTTGCCAATAGGTACATTAACTGGTTGGTAAAGACGAGGACAGAACTAGCTAAATAGAAAGGATACCTGTTACCTAAAAAAGAGTTGGAGTTAGGAACGGGCAGGTACTTGGCAGGCAACTGTCTGAACTTGAAAGTGGTAGAGGTTTGGTGGTTAGGATTGTATTGAAGTGGGAGATTAGAAGGAGGCCGTGTGCTTCCCTCTACCTAATCCTGTTGAAATGCCAGCTTTGTTTGATGCTTGCGGTTTATCAGAAATTGGGAAAAGCTGAGGAAAAAATAAAAAGATTTTTTTTCTTGATAGCACGATATATGCTGTGGCGTTTTCTTATAAACATTCAGTACTGTGGCTTGAATTCACTGTATCCTGATCTGCCTCTACTTGCCTGGAATGCACCACTCCCTCTCAGCCTTTCCTGGAGCGAGCCATTGTCTCTTCGCCCTGGAATTCAAGTGAAGAGGCTTAAATTGCTACTGTCTGATGGCTGTACAGAAAAAGGCCATGCCTGAAGATAGGAGAGGGAAAGTCTTAGAGATTGAGGGTGTCTGAAATTAGTAGGGAATGTAACTATAAGATGAACACAGAGCACGCAAAGTACCCAGGACAAATGACCTGAGGAGGGTGCATAAAGTAATAGCTTGGCTGCCTGGAGCAGCTGGCTGCACCAGGAATGCTGTACAAGAAATGGGTTTCCGAGTATCAGATTCTTGAAATAAACTGGGAGAGTAGAAGCTGAAACTGTGTGTTGTGGGATTCTTAATTCATAGCTTTCATCATGCAACAAAGAAGTTCCTAATTTCCATGAGATGGCTGTGTCTGATAACGTAGATTACTTCCAACTTTCATCTCTGCCAATCACCTGGGTCTGCCCTAACGAAGCACTCGCCAATACAGTGGACATCAATTATGTGCATTATTAATCTGAAGGCAAAAGATTTTGACCTCATTGGCTCACAACGGTTTTATTTCTGGGACTATAACATGCTTATTGAGACAGTTTATTTCATGCTTCTTCCCACTTCGCTTTCAGTACGTTCTAGGCAAAGAATATGATGGTTTGTTAAAGCGTGGGTTTTCGTAGGGGAGGACATCTATGGACTGCACCTTCTCTACACATGGACCTTCAATGGGGAGGAAATGGATTTTGGTCTCCTTCACTGAAGGAAACAATGACCATGAGCAGTTGTTTTGCCTCTCCAGTGTGAAATTAACACTTATCCATTGAGTTTCCTTATTTCACTATCCCCAAGTCCCTTCAACTTCCAATGGGGGGAAAAAAAATGGGGCAGCAAACAGGAGTTTACCATCCTTTCAAAAATCTTCCCTACTACAGTCTGCTGGTGAGATACTTAACAGTGCTTAAAGTTTCACCTGGTTACATACACCCATTTGTTGGCTTAGAACAGCAGTTGTAGGGCTGTGTTAAGCATAGATGGTAGAGCATCCTTGGCACTCCATTCTCTGTCCTCAAGCCTTTTTTTGAAGTTTGCCCAGAGAAAGAAATGTTAACAAGTCACCCTTTATGGCATCTTGTCCATTTTTACTACTTCCTTTATACTCGTGCCATCTTTCTTGCAACTGTTAAGGACTTGAGTTTGAAATGGGTGATGGTATGGCTGAGTCCTTCTGATGCTCTGTTGGCCTCAGGCAAGGCTTAAGGCTAGCTTTTTAAGCCCTTTTTTTATAAATCTCATCTCTTGAATACTATTTTTCCTACCTTCTCCTTTGACAGATGCCATTATCCGATACGGTGTTTTTGTTTAAAAATCTATGTGCTAGACTAATCCTTCAGAGATGACAAGGCAGCATTATTTCTCAGGGAGTTTTTCAGCTGTTTGTTTCATGCACAATGGCGGTCTGATGTTTCAGCAAATGTTTAGTAATTGGTGTTTTGTGTGCGTGTTTCTAAATATATACAATCTACAAAATTGATAAGATTATTTGTAAGGAGCAATAGCATAAAGTTATGTATTTTTGCAGTGCTCCAGGAGTCAAATTCTTTTTAGATGTATTACAACTTGCTTATCTGTGACTAAACTTGTTATCTTTTATGACTTGGTATCACACAAGAGTGAGGAATTTATTTGAGACTCAAAATACTGTCAGACTGAGACTTGGTAGTTAACCTTTAGAAATTTAAAATTATTTATTTTGAAGGAGATGCCTCAAAGAAGGAAAAGTTTCAAACGATAAGTTTATTTTTAAAACGAACTGATTAGTTATCTAACAAGAAGTTGGAAGATGTGAAAATCAGATGGTTCTAATTGCAAGACTTTACAAAACAAAGTCCCTGGTGAATATTCAGAACTCTTGAAGCCGGAGCTCAAGAATTAATAGGGTGAGTTATATGTAGACTGGCAAGTGGTTTAAAAGCTTACGTTTTGGATAAATCCTTTCATTCAACAGTTAGTGACAGGCTTTATACAGGTCCACTGCAGAACAAAGGGTTGGCTTCACGAGTAAGTTTGGTAGACATGTGAAAGAGTTGGAGCGTGTGCTGATCTGGTAAGGAAAGTCACCAAAACAGGTACTGGAAGTTTATGTGCTTGAGCACGGAGCTGGAATGGTGATTTTTTGTTGTTGTTGTTGCTTTTGGTTTTTACTTGGCGCTCTGGACAATAGAGTAAAACACAACAGCTGAGAGCTTCTGATTCTTCAGTGGCTGCCAAGAGTTAACAGGACTGTATTTGGAAAAATCACTCTCTCCCTAATGAAGAAATAGCAGCGCTTCATACCGAAAAAAAAAGAGCATTGTTGTAACTACCACAACTGGTGGCAAACAAAGAATCAGTTATTTGCCTGAAGCATTATGGCACATCAGCAAGAACCAAGAGTGGGTGTCTTTGTGGAGCCAATACTCAAAGCCTCAATTAGTAAGGACTTTACCCACGTTGATAATAATTACTACTAATAATAACTGGCACTGTAATGTACTTTGAAAAGTACTTTACATGTTAACTAATCCTTAGGGCTATTTTGTAAGGCAGGCAGGTAACAGGCGGGCAAATCTGGGTTCTGAAAGTGTTATGATTGTGCACCCCATAAAGTTCGGGTGCTCAGGCTCAAATACCAATAGTCTGTTTTTCATGGGGGGTGAGGTTCAGCCACTCTCGTTTCAATTACATGGATGTATATGCATTTATTGGGAAGATAAATGAGCTCCTAATGTGGGATAACTTCAAAATCAGAAGCAGCTTGTAACACTTTGCTTCAACCAATTGTCTGAAATTATGCACACCATCAGTAGCACCAGAATCCTGTTTTTCTTGTTAGGTGTTCTATTACCCAACATTTAGACTGCAGTACGATTGTTAGAATAAAAAATATTCCATTCACAAAATTCTTAAATCTACAAGAAAGAGTTAACCTGAAAGAGTCTTCTCAGCTAACAGTATATAATTATTTTTTTTTCCTCTCCTGCTTTCTTCTTCCTACTGTTTTCTCCAAGCTAATGTAGGTTGTCTGTCTCGAGGGTGGGACAGGGCACAGGGACACGAGTAGTTTGACGTGGAGGGACTTTTTACTCCACGTAAACCAGAATCACACAAAGCTTGGGAGCTTCTCTTAAGAGAGATCGGCAACCGTTGTGCTGGCGCGTTTGTTGTTTGTAGAAAGCATACTTTTTACTCGGTTCTGTTTTTGTTGGATGAGCTTAATGTAGTACAGTGCTTGCAAGACGGGGGAAAAATGGTGACTTCGGGATTCTTTCTAATACTGATGATATTTTATAATGCGTTTTTTCCTTCCCCCCCCTCCCTTTCTTTGCAAGCCTGGAAGTTTTGAGGCACTTCAACAGAAAACAGTTAGTTTCTAACCCCTCAAAACGTTGCTGCTGGTACTCTTCCCCTTTTTATTACCAAACCTTCGCATTGTTTAGGAACACAGGCGTTACACCCAGCCGCGCCAGACCTGTCGTACCGCTGCGAAATCCCGGCCGGTCCCGGTATCGGCTGAATTTTCTGAGGATGTTGTTAGGAAATTACCTCATAACCTCGCCCCGCCGCTCTCTTTACCGCAGGCCTTCCCCGCTGCCGCCGGGGGGAAACCGCCTGAGGCCGAGTTCCCGTGGTTAAACCCGCCGAAGCGCTCTCACCGGTGGGGCGCTTCCCTTAGGATGTGCCCGTCCCGCTGGGGCGGGAGGCGGCTCTTCCTTCCCGTTGTACCGGGCCGAGCCCGCCGTCCCTCAGCCGCCGGGGGAGGCTTCTGGGCGGGGACAGCGCCTCAGAGCGCTCCGGCCGGGACGCGGAACTGGCTGCCGCTTCGACCTATCGCAGCCGCAGGAAGCTGGCGAGCGGCGCCAATCGGAGGCCAGGCTCCACCCTCGCCGCCGCGCGATTGGGCGAGGCGTCTAGAGGAGGCGGGGCACAAAGGGGGCGGGCCGGACGCTGGGGAACCAATGGGAAGGGGGGAGGTGGGCGGTCCCGCTTGAGTGC